CTCGCATCAGCTACTTGGTGAAACTATTTACTGCTTGTGTGCAAATACAAGAGACTTATGAAACATTTGCGATTGTGAAATTCAATATGCTTGTGCTGTAAATTCAAAGTTCGGCACTTCAGATCAAGTACTTTGACGACCCGGCTCTTTCGGCAATGCGTCAGCTGGACGACATAACGCAGGTTTTTGATCCGGAGCAGAAGAGCACATTTCTATCGCAAACACTCCACAATAGCTTACCGATCATTCCAGAAGTAGGCTACCTTACTCTGGCGACCATTCACAAAAACCAGATGCTTAGCAAATCAGTCTTTTAAACCCATCCCGATGGGAAGAGTGAGCAAATCGAGTTCAGCTGCATCAGCCAAGTGGTTTTTGAAATTATGCCGGCAAAAAAAGTTACTGCCTAAGTTACATATAATTTCATTAACTATTTTGCAAGGTTAAATGTAGAAAGAGGTTTTCAGCTGGGTTAGATGAGGGCTTAATGAAAGTACTGAAAAATCCACTACCACGCTTTTCATTGGCGAAGAGTCATTGGTGAAGCAAGCATTTTTTTGGAAAAACAAAAGAGGGAAGGAGGTAGGGCAGGTGTTTTTAAGAAATTTTTTTAAAGGTTGCTTCCAGGTTATTTTAGAAAAGCGTGCTAGTTGCTTTTTATTTGAAGTCAATACTTTAATCATTTGTGGCGATAAAATTCTCTCCTTATTTGAATAGGCGTAAAATAATAAATAGTATTTTTTACTAGTCTCTCAGGAAAATTGAAATTTGACGTATTCTTGCTGAAAGCGGCAAGCGTTTTCATCTCTCTAACCTTTACCACTCTTATCAGCAGTTTAACCTTGCGTAGGGATAGTCCAAACATACAAAAACAGCGGACAATTTATAGTAGCAAGTGTCACCTCTCTTGTACTGGAGGTCGAGAATTCGGCTCCATCACTGAGACAGTCAGTTCCTCTACCATTCGCTCATTTGTTTCGTTGGTAAACTGGTAGAGGAAGTACTGGCTTTGACACAGAAATTTTCGAAGTAGAAAAAGAATACAATTTTTGTGGAATTACAGAACTTGTGGTTCACACGAGTGTTGCCTCGGTTTGATGAATATTTCACTTGTTCCTACGATTTATATGCTGCCTTATCTCGCCCACTGTTTTATATGTTAGACCATTGTGAGAGCCATAATATCCACAAGCTTAAACCATGGATACGAAGGATTGTCGATCATGCTCAGCAACGCCCCGTTAGTTTAACTCCATTATTTTCTCGTTGCTTTATTAACATTCTTAAAGGAATTAGAACAGAAGTAAATTTCTTGTAAGAAAATTGAGAATTTTTGCTTTGTGGCTCATCTCGTTCTTGAAAAACTGA